TCGTTACATTGTTATTTGTCGCCTATGCAGCGCGTAGTCGAGCAACATTGGAAAGCACTCGCTTTCACTCTCGTGCAGAGCTGGACGGCCCCACCTCACTCTCATGTCAAAGGTGAAAGAGTATTTACAACTATGATAAGAGGATGAAGAGGGACTTTCCGACACAATGAGAGTGAACTGCGTGAACGTCAGGTTAAACGTGTTCTCTTCTCTCAGAGTCTGAGGTCAGCAGATAATATGTTACCTAAAGTTAATGTGCAGCTACTGTGAATAACTGTCTGTCTGTCCTGCTAACCAGCTCAGCAGCGAAGCTCTTGTCTCTCTGTTTCTTGGTTGCTTGTCAGATTTTGACTGAACAATATTGAGTGAAACATAACTATTACATTTCAACACCAACGGACCACGGTGTTTATAAACTGCAGCTCAGAAAAGATGACCGCTTGCTTGTGAAAATGCATTCATATACACAGAGACAGTGACCCAGCAGATTGCCGCCCAGTCTTAACAGACTTCATGAGGTCTGAGTTAGTGTCTGTTCAAACCAGCACTGGATTTTTCTAGAAAAGGTTTCCATTCAGGCTTCCTTGAGTGAAAATATAGATTGGGTTTTGTAAGATAGATTTAGATGTGTAGTACTTTTACTTTTGATTACTTTTTTAGTAAGTATTTTTAAAACCAGGTACTTTTACTTGAGTAGGTTTATACTGGATGACTTTTACTATAAAATATGAAAATTGAGTACTTCTTCCACCACGTGTGGACACACCTTCAAACAGCTCATATTGAAAAAGAGAAAGAGAAACAAAACAGCCACAGCCTCCCATGCCTTAAAGACATTCTTTCTGTTTCCTGCCAGTCCTCATTCCATAGCATACAGAATGGGTGCCGTGGTCTAGAAGATCTGGGTTCCATTGTTGAACGTTTGGATGTGACACAGAGCTTACCTCTACACGTCACTCGTTGTTGTTTGTTGGAGCTTGGCACGTTATTGCTGAAGTGAGGACACTTTTTCACCTCTCGCTTATAAGGCTGGTTTCTTCAGATAGTATGCCAACACTGTCCCCCTCTTCTTCTCTTCCTGGGGTTTTGTGTTGGTCTAGCAGCGAGCAGCCTACACTCCTGAACAGTCCTCAGAATGTTGTAGTGTCTCTGTTAGCAAGTTAGTTAGCAAATTTGCAACAATTGGCAACATCTGCAACGTCCGGTTACAGTTTCTAGTGTTCTTGTCAAGACCACCCAAACAGAGACCAAGTCAAGTTCAAGACCAGAGTTTATCGAGACCGAGTCAAGAGCAAGACCAGTTCCTCAAATTACATGACATTGACATGACACGACATTTTAGGTACTTCTTAAATTGATATGAAAGATCCACATTCCCAATAAAACACCCACATACAAACACTAAGAGCTGAAATCAACGTGAGCATCGCCATCACAGGAAGGGCTGACAGTTGTTAACGGTAACAACTCATTGAAAAACTCTATACAAATAAAGCTATAATTGTTATTAGGACAAAAAGGTTTAATTTGTAACAACACATTGTATTTTTAATGGTTTATCATGTTTGTTTTTAGTGTAAAATCTTAATCTAAAAACATTACTATTACCGTTTTTTATGTTTTGTGAAACAGGTGATAGGTAAGATGTTGGGCGGGTCATTGGCCAGGTGGGCTTGAGTTGGAGGTAGACAGGGAGGGAGGAGGAGAGAGACAGAGGGAGGGAGGGAGAGAGGGAGGGAGGGAGGAGAGAAGAAGGTTATTAAAGCAGGTGCATTTCTGATGATATGGACTTGCAGCGATGGCTTTCTACCAAGTGATCTGTGTGGCAACTCTGCTGACTCTCCTGACACAAGGTAAGAACCCTCCTCACTGTGCACAGAGGATCAAGAATCTTTTAATGAAGTAACAGAAGTTGTTAAATAAATCAGTATTACATGCAAGTGCAAATCCTGCGTTCAGATTAACCTTTACAAAATTGTAGCAATAAAATGTACACAACCAAAGTGCTCAGTGGATCCTGTCACACTGAATCAAAATATACATCAATGCAATTTATGAAAATGATCAAATCTATGAGAGAAAGAGAAATAAAGTAAGAAAAGCCCAGGGTTAAAAGTCATTATGTAATCTGTTAAGATGTTTATGGAAAATGAAATGAAATGGCAAAACTACCCAAATGTATTTTTGACATGTTTTAAAACACATTAATCTGCATGTGAGCAGTAATTATAGAAATCAGATAAATCTAATGGAATAAAAATAGTTTTGCACTGAACTCATGGCTTTGTTTAGACTGATTTAAAACTTAGCCTGGATGCATAAAGTGAAATAACATACATTCATTTCCAAGGACTGCTTTACTGTATTTCTATTAGCAGATGATTATAAAAAGAAATCAGGAAGCAGCTGAGTGATATAAATGCTATTTTTCCTGTCAGTCACTATTTGCATTCATTCTTTGAGACATGAATTAGGACCTTTCCTTTTTGCATGTATCTTTGTGATAAAGTTGTACAGTCAATAAAGACTTCGATACACTCTAATTGGGGATGTTAGCTTCCCTGTGAAGCAGCTGTGAGATGTACTCTATTAAAGGTGCTGAAGTTCACATTTGTGTGGATTTGTGGTGAGATTTTTGTCTGACTACAAGTATTTTCAGTTTCGATTTGCCATCTCTGATGAAGAGAATTGCGCTTCTGTCATCCAGTAAACAGTCCCAAAAAGGGTCTAAAGGGGATTCTACCTATCAGCAGAGCAAAAACACAGGCTAATGCACAGCAGAGGACAGGGCAGGAAGATTTTGTTAAAATATAATGCCTTTATTCTCATTAGATTTTGATTTTATTTATATTATATATCTATTATATTTATATATTACACCTTTTGTCTATAAATATTACTAAGATATTCTGCAAAAAGAAAACAGATATGTGGGAGAGATTTTGGAACGTTTTAGACAAGAGGAGAAAAACTTCTGAAACACAGGAGCTATTAAAGTCCAGGGGATAACTGAATTAAAATGAATTGATTAATCATTGGTGCCACATGCACATTTAAAAAGGTTACTTCAGTCATGCCTACATGTTTGCTGACTCAGCAGGGATGAAATTAAATGAGAAAAGTTGATCTACAGGAGAAACATATCTGACCGCAGTTCAAATGCCTGAGAGCCTTACTGCATTTTATAACACTATATGTTTTATATTTTGAATTGTCGTCTGTCACTGGATATTTAATAAATAAAATTTAACTCAATGACTTATAGGAGGAAAAAAAACTAAAATTTTCTGGCCTGGTCTAAGCCCCCAATATTTCAAGAGCCTGACAAAGCCCCTGGCTTAGATGCATTTTTACCATGAAATTGTTGCAGCTTCTAACCTAACTAACCCACTCCAGTCATGGGCCCCTGTACAGTGGGAGTACTGCAGCACTATCTGCACTGTATATATCTACACCCCCATTTCCAGGACATTTATTGAAATGAATGGACAGAATGTTGAAAATGTCCTTATTTTCACAATTTCTTCAGGCTTTTTCAACTGTTATCTAGTCATCTGTGAAGGTTCTCAGTCATCCAGGTCATAGTTATCCAACGAAGGTTGAGGTCAAGGGCAACTGGACTTGGTAGAAGATACTAGAAAGACCTCAGAAACTGTATTTAATTGAGAACTCAGGACACTCAAGACAATATTTCAAAATAAAGGCCCTGTAGAGTAACTTTATCTTAACAGAGAACTAGGGATGGACCTTATTTTTCAAAACAGAAACACCCGACAGTCCCCAGACAGTAATGACCAAATGGTCACTGTATGTTGGAGGGCCTAGTTTTAAAAAAATAAGACCCCGACCATACAGTATAAGGAAAAACACGTCTATTCATACTGTTCGTGTCCCTGCAAGCTCTGCGGGATGCTTAAAATGAGCTAATGAGTCAGTGTGGCATTTATACATTTATAACACACACGTCTTATTAATGTAGGCGACATCGGCTCAGTCTAAAGGGACTTTTCTTGTGAACCTGAGGGTCAACAATTGAAGTGCAGCACGGACCATTGCATAAAGTGCCCATGAGCAAGGCACTGAACTCCTAGCTGCTTCCTGGGTGCTGCACAATGGCTGCCCACTGCTCCTTATTAGGATGGGTTAAATGCAGAAGACAAGTTTTGCATGTGTTGCACTGTTTATAAATGTATCTGAAAATAAAAGTTGATTATATCAATATTATCTACTTTCAACTGCAAACTCCAGTCAAACCTTAAAATACTCCACATTTGTCATGCAGTAAAGGTAGTATTCTGATTCAGAATTCTGAATAAACCGTTAGCAATATGAGGTTTATACAAATTCAAAATCAAATTTGGATTATTTAGAAAATTCCCTGGGTTTTCAAGTCTTCATAGTCCTTCATACGTCTTCATGCAAATTAAAGCCAGCAATGCAGTTTAGTGTCAGTTTTTCAACAATCCTTAAAATATTCCACATCTTTCATACATTTGTATTATTTGTATGTATTTATCAAGCCAGAAATCTAGTATAGCGCCAGCTAACTAGTCAAGTTGAATTGTGCTTGAATTGAAAATTAAATGCGCTGAATTTATTTAACACAGACCTATAATTCTGCATATAATTCTTCTACCACCTTAAAAATTAACTTTCTTATTCTTTTCAGTCTGTCCTTGTAGTAAGAGTCTTGTGTAAGCATGCAATTAAAGTAATATTTGATTATTTAACTTAAGCCAATTATGTGAACTATAGCTAAGACATATCAGTAAATATAAATACACAATAACTGTATCATAAATATTTTTTTGTTTTATGTTTTCAGAGTCTCACTCACAACTAAGTGGTAAGTCAAAGTTTCTACGCACACTTTTTTACTTCCTGCCTGTCATTGGGACATTTTAAACATGATTTTGGGACGTAAACATGTTGTTAATAGATTCTTTTCTTTCTTTTATCTAATTATTTCCCCACTTTGTCCACTTTGTCTCTCTCCTCAGTCTGTGGTCAGCCTACACTCAACACCAAGATTGTTGGAGGACAGGTGGCCACTCCAGGCAGCTGGCCCTGGCAGGCCAGTCTGCGAACCGCTGGGTCCCACTTCTGTGGAGGAACCCTCATTAACAATCAATGGGTGCTGACTGCTGCTCATTGCTGCGCAAGGTAAGCAGAGAGGGTAGGGCGGCGACAAATAAACAACATGCCATGCAGTGACGTAAACAGGCAGTGATTCCTAAATTGGGGGAAGGATTCTCTCCAGGCGGTTGCAAGATAAATCTAGAGGTCTTGAGAGGACTGAGAGGACAGATAAAAAATATTATTCTGCTACTGAAATTATCACTGTTACTTTTTAAAGAAATAAATATGTAACGTTACATTGCGATGCAGAGCTGCAGTGAAAAGACAGAGAAGACAGATGCATGCTGTGTTTAAGCGCAGTGAGTGGGTAAGGGGAGAGTCATTGATTTAAATGGCGTCACTTTCAAGAGTGTCACTGAGGGAAACCCTGTAGCTGTGACTTTGGGCATGTTCACAGGTGTAACAGACTGCTTGTCATCATAGATCATCAGATTTTGATGTTAATTGCACCTTCAGTAATATCGGCTGCTTTCTCACACACAGCTCCGCTGCTCACCGGAGTGTTAGTGATAGGCTATTTTTTGCCACGTGTAACCAATCAGAAGATGTTTGTTGTTACCTAGCTGAAAAGTTATAGTGGGATACAAAATACAAACTGGGATCCAGAGAATGTCTAGTACACTAGAGCATATACATTTTTTAAACTTTTTATTATGTGTTTATTTCGAATATATGTAAAATGAAACATCCAACAAGAAAATGCAAACAAATAAACACATCAAAGTGATTAAATAACACAATAATAAATGAATTAATAATAGTCACAGCCAAAGACTTTTTAAACTCTTGTCAATTCCATTACATATTCTAAAAGGAGTGGGGAACCATACCCAAAAGCAATTCAAAATGTAGATCACTTATAAAACCAAGGAAAAAAATAAAACCAAGGAAAGAAAGAATTTCAGCAACTCATAAAAAAATTTATGTACACAACAAAACTGAAAATAATTACTAGCCCCAGAAACACTTGTTGATTATTCACCGCTTGTTCATCCCTGTAACCCTTGAAAACCATATCTTTATACCTGATTTTAAACTGATTTGTGTTTGGCCTTAGTTCCTCAGTGAGACTGTTCCATACCTTTACATTAAAGCTTTACAAAGAAGTGTTGCACCATAGAATAAGATTGTACTATTACTTGAGCTAAAGTTAACAGGAATGTTTGTTTTAATAATGTAATTTAATAAAACTATAACTTAAGTTACTTAAAAGATCCTGCTACTGAAACAAATAACTGTAAGTTATTCAGCATACTGAAACATTACATTATATACTAAACAAGACATTTTGAAACCTTGAACATCGCCTTTGTCTCTTTTACAGTGTTGGGAAAGCTACTTGGAAAATGTAGTGAGCCAAGCTTCTAGCTACTCTATGTTGAAAGAAGCTAAAAGAAGAAATGTAGCAAGCTAAGCTACAGCAACGTGGCAAAAGGAGCGTAGTTACGTCTAAGCTACTTTTAATTTTTTTTATATTTTATAGTCATATCAAGCTCGGGTCCTCACCATAACCAGCTACCTGCTTATGGCGTTCCATGTATGCACTTCCTGCTTACATCTTACACCCTGCTGTTATGTGCTGTACTGTCTCAGGGGCATCCTTGCACAGTCTGCACCTGGGGTCCTGCTTGGTGTGGAAGACCCCAGCCTGATCTTGTACTGAGTGCCTGTTCTTGTGCCGCCATGATTAGTGCTTCTGTGCTGTCTTTTAGTCCAGCCTTTTCCAACCACTGGTAGGATTTCTTGGTATCAGCCACTTCTTCTATTTGTCTGTGGTACATGCTGTGCAGCGGCTTGTCTCTGCATGAAGGTTCTTCATCTTCCTTGTCCTCACCCTCGGGTTTCTGCTGCCTGAGGTATTCATGAAGCCCTTGATCTTTGGGGGCCATCTTCCTGATGTACTCCTGGATCTTTGTCGTTTTATCCTGGAAAGTGTTCTGGACACTCACTAGCCCTCGGCGTCCCTCGCTACGCTTGGTGTACAGTCTCAGGGTGCTGGATTTGGGGTGAAACCCTCCATGCATTGTGAGGAGCCTTCTTGTCTTGATGTCAGCGGCCTCTATCTCCTCTTTTGGCCAGTTTATTATACCAGCGGGGTATTTGATGACTGGTAGGGTGTATGTGTTGATGGCTCGGATCTTGTTCTTCCCATTCAGCTGACTTTTCAGGACCTGCCTTACTCTCTGTAGGTATTTGGCTGTGGCGGACTTCCTTGCTGCCACCTCATGGTTCCCGTTAGCCTGCGGTACCCCAAGGTATTTGTAGCTTTCCTGAACATCTACAATGTGTCAGCCCTGGGTGGATCTGATCTTGTGTTATTACCCTGCCACTGAGAGTACACTTTGGATGGTTCGGTGGAGAACATCCGGTTTATTCTCCCTTGTATCTCTTTAGGCGGGTAGCCAGAGCGGTAAGTCTTTGTTTGGCAGTCTCCAGAGCCTCAGGTATCGACAGCTTGTTGTATTTCTTAGGTAGCCCCTTCCTGTCTGCTGTGGTGAACATCAGCTCATTGGTCTCGGTTATGGCTTTAGTAGGGATAGTATGTAGTGCTGCATTAATTCTAGCAGACTTTCAGAGGGTACTTTGTCACTTAGCCTTGGCAATCTTGGTCGCTGTACTTGGGTTCCAGCTTGGTTATGATCTTCAATCGTAGGTCTGTCGCCCTTATGTTGAGTGATTCTGTACCGTAAGGGCTTGTTATTATTACTGGGGCTTGGGACCCAATCTCTTAGTGTGGGGATGATGATGATAACATCTCCCCGCTGACCTGTCGTCCTGGCGAGCTCTTGCCGTAGCATTTATTGTACTTCATCAATCTGTAATTGTGATGGCAGTTGCCGTTTGCGAATGTTAGAACACTGAGCTAGAAGTTGTTTCCCTGTCAGTTTTGATGATGGGTTTCGAAGCATCCATATATCCCATAGTCTCTGCATATTACCTCTCTTGTATAGTAGTATTGCATCAGATCCAGTTTATATGTGAATTTGTGCTCATTACGTGCAACGTAAACATCCTAAACATTATTAGCAATGGGTGAGAAAGAGAGAGAGACAGAGATAAAGAGAGAGAGAGAGATCTATCATCTCATGGAAACAAGTTTCTGCCACTACATATCAAAGTTTCCTCCTCACTAGAGGAAGAGCTGTCCAGGCTGGACCCTGATCCTCCTAACAAGAGGTGTTACAATAACTAAGCAAGTAAACTCAATCACGCGTGTCTTTATTCCACTGCAGCAAAGTCGCAGACATCAGCCCAAGGATCGCTACGTGATGTCACCGGGGTGTAATGTAAATATTTATTTATATAACTGTTTTTAAAAAATGGGCCAACAATCGGCCCATAAATCATGGACAGCAGCCCATGGAATTTTCTATACTGACATTGGGCTGGCCCAATAACATCTCTTACTACAGAGGAGGAGGCCGCCAAATGCGCGAAAGTAACTGATATGTTTGCTACCGGGGCTGTAGTAGCTTCACCATCAGCTGCAGTACCCTGCGTAGGAGTAAAAGAGCTGTAGTGGCCACTTCCAGGCAGAGGAGGAGGCCTGTGTTAGCGAAACAGAAGGACAAAGTGACCGTGATGGGCCGAGTGAGAGAGTGAGCAGGAGGAGAGTGGAGGTGAAGCGATAAGCATGTAGTATTGTCGTGTAAAAAATTCAAGACTTGGGCAAGATTAGAAAGCTTGAACCTTTACCAACATTTTTCTAATCAACAAAAACAGACACCAATTAGAACACAAAAGTTCCACCGGAGTGTGTCAGAGATCGGTGCAAAATAGAGCCCCATTCTGTTACCAAAACAGAGACCCAAGTCGACATGAAAACCATGTAACGACTGACTTTCACCTCCTTTTGGACCTCCTTTTATAGCTCTGTTTCTCGGCTTCACATCATCTCTTGGCTCTCTTTCCTGCTGCACCTGAATCTGGGAAAGTCCCTGACTGCCTGCTCCTCCTCTCTGTGTACTTTGCATGCCCTCCGCTGATCATAACATTTCATCCATAACCTGACATTTGTGGAATAAACTGGTGTTGTTTGTGTTCTGTGCTAGAAACAGGACATTCTTACTGTGATGGACTATATTGATGTATGTTTTGTAATACAACTTTCACAAAATCTGCCTCTGCATTTTCCTTTGCAGGTGCTTTTGATGCTGTCTTGCACACATGCTACTGCTGAGCCTGGGCAGTTTGATACAAAAAGGAGCACATACACTCAGAACTATAGACTTTTAACACTGTGATCCTAACTTTATACTATAAAATAACACTTTAAATTATGAAAATGTAGACCACCATCGCTCTAGTAATTAATCATAACAATTTAGGCTGTAATGCTCTAAAATAATTCACAACAGTATCTCAGCCTGTAGGGAGGGGGCAAGGAGGGAGGGTCGTTCACACTGGGGATGCTGGGGACATGTAGCCACCACTTTTTGAAAGCATTTGTTAAGCAAAAAATTATAATAAGCTACTGATTACTGCATTAATTGTTCTTATATTTTTACATTGTGAATTGTCACCTGAATTTTGTGCTTCTCTTTATAAAAAAGACATTTTCACCACAAATTGATGCAGAAAATGTCTCCAGAATGCAGGGAAGTAAGTATTTAATGCTCAAAATCAGATATTGCAGATGTTTTTTGGTTAAGAGATGTTCATCCTTAGTTTTCTGTTCGTCTTCAAACCAACAGGTGCAAAGAACGTGGACTACATGTTCAGACTGAAGTATTAATTCATAATTAAAGGGAACAATTTATGTGATTAGGACTTGAGATTGGAAAAAAAAAGCATATTGAGCACAGGAATGACTAAGATGAAGGAATTATTTATAATATTAGAATATTAGAAATGAAATCTCCCTGTTGCAACATCTATCAATTTCCATACAAACTAGATGTGGTCATAATATGGACTTAGTGTTTACTAAAGTGCTCTTGACTACAGTTCTGTTTTTCATGTCTTTGCACTGTTTTGTTTCTCTTCTGATTACCTCAGATCAGGCGTAAGCACGAGCACTCTGGTTGTGTCTCTGGGTCTCCAGAGTCTACAGGGAATAAACCCCAATCAAGTGTCTCGCACAGTATCACAGATCATCGTTCATCCCAACTTTAACTCTGGAACTTTGGAAAACAACATCTGCCTCCTGAAGCTCTCCTCACCCGTGACTTTCACCACCTACATTCAGCCCGTCTGTCTGGCAGCCACAGGCAGCACCTTCTACAAGGGGACTGTCTCCTGGGCCACCGGCTGGGGCAATGTTGGATCTGGAGGTGGGTCAGAAAGGACCTGGATTACATTTATTTTCAGAGACAAACTAATTACAATGGTGGCAATAACTTTCTCAGGATTCATCGAGTGATAAGCAGGTTTGAGCCCAAACGCACAACAGTGGAGAGCTGACATCAGTTTGCAAGGTTTATTAGCAAAAAGCAGAATAATGTGACTTCAACATACTGCAATGACTGAACAGGGACTGAAAACCATTTATACAAGAGCAAACAAGCGTTGTGGGACACAACCAGGGGACACACATCAGGTACTCAGGATAGGGAAGACTCTCTCAAACACACACACACACAGAGGCAGGGAGATACAGATGTGATACAGATCAGTGGCCTGTACTGCGAGGCGAGCTAAGGTGAACAGGCTTTTAAAATGGTTTTGCTCACAGTTTTATGACGGATGTCAGATGATATTCAGGCCTTTTCTTGTAGATTTGTGATTATTTTTCCCCCCATAAATTTAACAAAATATTCTTTTGGAATTTTTTCTCTGATTATTACCCCTCTCTCCTTGCTCCATTTTTTTTGTTTAACGGACCTAATATGCAGTTGCACCTTTCATCTTAAATCATTACACATAAAAGAAGAGTTTATCAAGCCTGACTTTGCTTGATAACCCTGAATTAAATCTGAGTAGGTTGAACTCTACAATGGGTAGCACAGGCCTCAGTTGTCACAAAGTTACTCCTTTAGCTACCCGGAAAAGCCAGTTATCTTGCTTTATTCTACAGTCCACTGGTAGAGAAATTAAACAAGATGGAAAAATTGAAAGTAAAATCGTGATCAAATCGTGACATGAATGCACTTATTAAGAATTGTTTACATCCATGCTTTGTTAGAGTGCATACAGTATAACACCAGTATGATTCATTAAAATACAATATCTTTGTTTCATTGACTTAGAAAGATGAAAATAAATCTTGAAGTGAAGTGATGAAGTGAAATATCCTTTTTATAAATCTTAGATCTGTTGTTCAGTGTGAGACAGGAAATATTTGTTTTTAAAAAACATTCACATTTTGAGTTGTAGCCATGATGCATCGAATATGTGGTAATTAAAATAAAATAGAATGTAAAGTTAGTAAAGTAGAATGTAAGTTCTTCTAGGTAGCTATATGTCTGCCAGTGTAAGCATGGACATAAGAGCTTGTGATTTGGATACCTTGTGACATTAAACATTAAACATTAAAGTACACTTTTGATTATAACTAATATACATGCACAGGTGAAACTCCAATGAACATAAAAAGCCTTTTAGGGAATTGTAATTGCTGTTTTATTTATTTTTTTGCTACTTTGACCCTTTTATGATGGGAGAAACATTATATCATTAGACCTTCTTATTGCATCAGACAAAGGACTTGTAGGTCTCTGTATTTGTCTCGTTAGATCTTAGTGCTGCATTTGCACTCTACATATGTTTCCTGTAGGCAATTTCATCAGGAAACACTCCTTGCTATCAACTTTCATTGATTTGCAGATGATACTCGATCAGGCCAGATAAAACCAATCAGTTTGCTTAACTTCAAGCATGCCTTAAAGATATAAAAACCAGGATGACCTGTAATTTTCAAATGTTATACTCTTATTGTTCCGAGGCCCAAGCACCTCTGTGACGCATTATCTAAAGATATAGTTTCCCTGGATGGCATCGCCCTGGCCTCCAGCACCACTTTGATTAGGACATGTTGTTTAACTCTCACATTAAACAAACTTCAACGACAGCCTTTTTTTAACCTACGTAATATTACAAAAATCAAGAACATCCTGTCTAAAAATGATGCAGAAAAACTAGTCCATGCATTTGTTACTTCTAGGCTGGATTACTGCAATTCATTATTATCAGGCTGCTTAAAAAAAGTCCATTAAGACTCTTCAGCTGATCCAGAATGCTGCAGCACGTGTTCTGACAGGAACCAGAAAAAGAGATCACATTTCTCCTGTTTTAGCTTCTTTGCATTGGCTTCCTGTAAAATCCAGAATAGAATTTAAAATCCTTCTTCTCACATACAAAGCTCTTAATGGTCAGGCACCACTGGTACAATTATTAATAATCCTATTATTTGTATTATCATTAATATTAGTAAAATGATCAATAACATTATTTATTTCCTGTCTGCACCTCAGCCACTTTTACTGTATATGTATTTCTACATGTGGTCATTGTGTTGCATCACCCTCTCACCCTCTCTCACTCTCTTTCGCTATTCAACGCTCTCTCTGGCTCTCTGTCTCTCTCAACCCCAACTGGTCGAGACAGATGGCCACCAAACATGAGTCACAGTTCCATTCGAGGTCTCTCTACCTCCAAGAAGAGAGTCTTTTCTTGCCTCAAGTGTTAATAATAATATAAAGAGTACAATCTTGACATGCACTGTATGAAAAGTGAAATGAGATAACTTTTGTAATGAATTGCCGTTATATAAATTTAATTTGAAGTACTGGAAGTGTTTTGCAGTTTGGTGGGGGACCTGTCCTTTGGTTTAACAATGGAGTTACTCATTGTCCCTTTAATGGGCTAAGACATTGTAAAACTGCTGGCATGGTCCTTTAAGTTCAAGTAGTGAGAATGTCTGTTTGATCCACAGAGGAACACCTGGAAAACCTTGAGGTGTGCCACAGATCACTGATGTGTTTATTAAACTGCCCATTTTGTGTGAAACCATTTTAAAAGATGTGAACACTTGTTTATTAACCTGAATTTGTGTCTCTTTAGTGTCCCTTCCTTTCCCACAAAACCTAATGGAGGTGCAGCTGCCGGTTGTAGGAAACAGAGAGTGTACCTGTAACTACGGAGTGAGCTTGATCACAAACAACAAGATGTGCACTGGGTTCAGTGCTGGAGGAAAGGACATCTGTCAGGTGATCATTTTTACGCCTGTGTTTGTGTCAGATTTGACCTTCTGCAAAGATTCCTTCTCCTAAATGTTTCTCTCCTTTAAGGGGGATGGAGGAGGTCCGCTGGTGAGCAAGCAGGGCGGTCGCTGGATCCAGGCGGGAATCACTAGTTTTACCAGTAGTAAGGGCTGTGCCCAGCCTAATATCCCATCAGGCTACACCCGGGTGTCCCAGTATCAGTCCTGGATCAACAGCCAGATCACCAGCAACCAGCCAGGCTTCATCACCTTTACCTCCACTGGGACCGACGGTGACCTCAGCATAAGCTGTCCTACCACGCCACCCCCAGCAGCCCAAGGTAAGTGTCTATTGTGTCCAGAAATACCAAAACACCACTAAACACCAGGTGACAGATAAAAACCAGATAAAACATGGAAACAGACTAAAACCAGAATTAGAATAATCAAACTACAGTGGATGCCAAAACACAGAACAGGAAGAGAATAAATCTAAATATAACAGACAGGCAGAATGTGACACATACGGTCATTTCAGCCCGTCCTCACCAGAAAAATGTCTGTATAGGTTGATTGTTCAAGCAGCTTATTACGACCAATAGTAAGTATTAGTAACTTCTAGTGGTCATAAGATGTAACAAAAGAGGAAAACAGCGGACATTTCTTTTTTACTCAAGACATTTTCATGGTCATAATGAGTTCTAGAGGAATACTGAAAATAACTGCAAACTCCTTTTCTCTAAGTGGAGGATGATTTTCCAGTCTAGCTGAGAGAGGACCAGGTTAAATGTCACTTATCAAAAATCTTTGTGTTTGAATGAGTAAAGTGATAAAAGTAATCACAAAATATATCCCATGTTAATATAGCATAGACACATATTGTATTTACACATTAATTGCTGTGAGCAAGTGAGTCTCCCTCACAACTAGATGCTAACTTTTTGACTTCTTGTCCATCTGTCATTTGGACGTTTTAAACATGTTGTTGATTAAAATAGTTTTGTTATTGATAGTATTTGCTGTAAACCCTGTATTGCTCACTCTGTGTCTTTATTGTCTCTCTCCTCAGTTTGTGGTCAGCCAACACTCAACACCAAGATTGTTGGAGGACAGGTGGCCTCTGCAGGCAGCTGGCCCTGGCAGGCCAGTCTGCAAACCTCTACAGGGTTCCACTTCTGTGGAGGAACCCTCATCAACAATGACTGGGTGCTGACTGCTGCTCACTGCTGTGCAAGGTAAGCAGTGAGGGTAGGGTCTGTGACAACAAACAACATGCCATGCAGTCCGGTAAACAGCCTGTCTAAGGCAGTGGTTCCCAACATGGGGTTGAGACCTTTGCTCGAATTTAAATGATTTTATCATTCATCATCATTCAAGGTGAAAATCTACGTTGTTTCAACCTTTGATGACGGGTAGCAAGCAGATAATGCTTAATTTATGAGAGGTCCACAGCCAACAAGGTTGGGAAGAACTGCTCCAAGAGGCAGGGGTGAAAATAAAAAGAGACACTTAAACAAGAGTTTAGGCTGCATTTTAGGCCTTTTGTAGCTCTAGAGCTAACCAGAAGGGGGCAGAGCGATATTCAGATTAAACCAGCTTATTTTCATATAACAAATTTTAAAACATGTTAAAAACCCTGTGATTTACTGTAATTTTGCTAGATATCATTTGAATATCGTTTGAACCCAGAAGCAGACAGATGCAGGATGGAAGTTTAAGGTGATTTATTATTGCCTGAGGTAAGACACACAGGCAATAACCAGCAGATAGTTGGTAAAGCTCGAACAGTTTCAGGTTGGGCTGGAGTGTCAAAGACATACAGTTGATTACTTTGACGAACCAGCAGAGAATGGACGCTGAGCTGCGATCCTTAAGTATTGTAATCTTAGGTGATCATAGGTGTCATTTACACTGAGGACGCAGATTACCCAACACTTTCTGTAAGCATTTGTTAAAAGTGTTCTGAAAATTACCTTGCAACAAGAAATGTTAAGTAACAAATGAAAATGCTTTGAGAAAGGTTTATTAGCGCAATAACAAAACATTCAATGCAATATAAATAAAGAGGAAAGAAATGTGCATCTTTCAAAAGAAAAAAAACCCTGATTTCTAATCTCAGTAAACACTGTCCTTACCAGGTTGTGATCTCTTTAGACAGTTTCAAGTCCTTCTCAATACAGCATGATGTTCATTTAGTAAATTTGTGTTCATATTTAGAGTAAAATAGCCAATTAATCAGGTTATGTTTTAGGGTGGGACTACCTTATGGGTATTCAACACCATCAGTTTTCAGCATGATAAAATGCTTCATTCTCAGGTTTGTATAAATTAGGGAACAGCTTCTCTAATTAGGACTTGAGGTCATGAAAAAGTAAATTGAGCGCATGAACGACTAAGTTGTGGGAATGATATCTCCCTGTTGCAACATCTATCAGGCTCCATACAAACTAGACCAGACATGGTCTTAAAGTCGACTTCATTTCCGCTAAAGAGATCTGGACTACAGTTCTGTTTTAAATGACTTTGCACTGTTTTGTTTCTCTTCTGATTACAGCACAGGCATAACCACGAGCACTCTGACTGTGGTTCTGGGTCTCCAGACTCTACAGGGATCAAACCCCAATAAAGCGTCTCGGACAGTATCACAGATCATCATTCATCCCAACTATAACCCCGTAAATTTGGATAACGACATCTGCCTCCTGAAGCTCTCCTCACCGGTGGCTTTCACTTCCTACATCCAGCCCGTCTGCCTGGCAGCTCCAGGCAGCACCTACTACAAGGGGACTCTCACCTGGGCCACCGGCTGGGGCAATGTTGGAACTGGAGGTGGGTCAGAAAGCACCTGGATTACATTTATTTTTAGGGACAGTATAACTATAATGGTTTCAACAACTGTGTTTTCTCAGTGGAGGACAGCTCTCCATGTGTCAACAGGCAGGTAGGAAGGGGTACGAGCACATTCACTGACAGCAACACTCAGCACAGAGTGAGTCAAGGAGAAGTGGGAGACGTCCCGCAGATAGAACCAAATAAAAGAACAAGGGGAAGACAAAGAAGCGACAGTGTCTTCAACTGTCATTCCTCTGTGCAGCGCCATAGAGTTTGAGATTCCTCTGGTTGAGTGCACTCTGATGCCCTCTGGAGCTTCCACCTCAGAAGACAGATACCCCTAAAGCTTCAAACAGCCAGCGAGACGGGCGCTGAGCAGACAGGTGAAGCCCCAAAGATTGTTCGCTGTAAAGAACAAACAGGCGCTGGGAACGGCGTAAAACAGCCGTGCACGTAACAAGACAGAGAAGATTATAAAAAAAACATGCAAAGTAATAACCCTCGATCTGAAAGAGTTGGCTGTTAAAGCTGGATTAGAGCGCAAAACGGCCATCGCCCTGAATTCTGAGGCATGAAGAGGCCACAGAGAAAGCAGATAGATTACCAACTTTTTTAGGTGATGTCAAAGCCAAAAGCAAGGCAGCATTTAAGAATGAAATTAGACTTTTGAATGATCTGATTATGTCATTTTGCTCAGATATAGTGACATTTGTGTGGAAATAGAATATAAATGTAAAGCAAATAAATAAAATAAGTAAATAACTAACTAATGAATTAAAGAAATAAGCAATTCCCCCAAAACATCAGTAATAACAGCCTACAGTTTGTATTAGAAGCCTAATGTTTTACAGTTTAAAGGTTGGGGCGACTGGGGCTCAGGATGTAGAGCGGGTTGCCTGTTAATCGGAAGGTTGGCTGTTCAATCCCCGGCTCCATCAGGCTGTGTGTTGAAGTGTCCTTGGGCAAGATACTGAACCCCGAATTGCCTCTGGTGGCTGTTTGTGAATGTTAGTTTCTGTTTGAGCGCTTAGGCTCAATGAATGAATGTGAGTGAAAAAAGCGTTTTGAGTTATACAGAGCATTTACATTTACAAAGGTTCCACATGCCTTTCATGTGAGAGGCCTGGGATCAATTCCCCACTGTGGCCCATCCACCATTGTGTCCCTGAGCAAGACACTTAGGCTGCATTCGAAAAGTCTTTTTTGCTCAGGAAGGTTCGTCACTAAGTGAAGCGAACCGGAAGTATTTCAGTGGCAGCCATGATAAGACCTGTTCGAATTCTCTAACAGCCAAGGAAAGGTGCCTCAATGCTTCCTTTCATATCTCCTTTAGCAAAGGGTACACCGGACCATCCTACAAAAGGAAAGGAGAGAATGCCGTCCCACAGTTCCTTGCGGCGGCAACATTTAAAGCGGCGCACGTTCTCAAACTCAAAAGATAAAATCCATCAACCACATTTAGCAAGATCCTTGCAATACAGACGCACATTATGACTCACAATTACCTTCTTTCTTTTGGTTTGTTTTCTTATGACATTTTTGTAATCTAATACTGTTTCAACACCGTTTTATCTTTCGGGTTGTTGAGATAAGCCATTAAGTGTTTTCTACAATAAAAAACAATAAATCACCAACTATGACGGATAAAGGAGGTTGATCACCATGTAATTTACCATTGGCTATTAAGCCTTTTCTCTCTTATGCCATAACTTGCTAATATGCATATATCTTAAACTGTCAACAATAACTGAGACCCATGCGAGCTGTTACTAGTCGTGATCAAAGTGAGGATAATGTTGCAGCGTGCAGCCTCACGTTATGTACTGCAGCCTTCAGCAAATTAATTTTACTTCAGTCACAGATGCTGACACCCTCACCTTAATAAAGGCAAAGATCAAGCTGGATAACCTCTACAGTAGGCGTTTCCCACACTAATTTATTTGTGGCGGCCTGCCACATTATCAACGCTGATTTTCGATTGATTTTGTTACTATTTAAAATGGGTAAAATCGTATTTGATGATGCATATATTCTCATGACCTTGACCTCATGACGTTTTCCATCGAGGTCAAGGAAAGGAGGTTAGGAAAGGAGATTTTTTTGAATTTGACCGCAGCCTTAACCTCTAGTTGCTCCACAGGCGTGCGACCTCATATACCCACATATTTAGCAATTATAAGTCACTTTGGATAAAAGCGTCAGCTAAATGAATAAATGTAATGTAAATCGTTGCACTTTCCCTGAAACAATTAGCCTAATGATCATTTTCTGGGTCATTCAATAATCAATCACAATCAGAATCAATCAATACAAATGCAGATAATGAATAAATAATTAGCATTAAGTATAAGTAAGCATTGTGCCAGTACAAATAATCCTGTCCCTCTGAGCAGGACATACAGTATGATTATTCATGTGCAGGTTTTTGTTAAACAAGTAACAGCTACAGAGGGAATCATCAAGAGTTGTCCGACTCTGGCTCCTCCGGGTCAAAGAGCACCATCCAGTGGGTGCATCTGCACAGGCAACATATCCTCGGACAGAGCAGACACGAGACCTGCAGAGTCAGGGCTAACTAGCATGTTGCGGAAACAGACACGGCCCTCAAGCCCATAATCTGGCAGGCGGGGCAAAGCCCGATGACGCTCTGCCTCTCCTTCTTTTGCTCTTTAATCTTTGGTGTTTATATGTTCTTCAGAAGAAAAATCTGACCCCAATTTATAGACAGGATAGGCGTGAAAAAGGCTCTTTCAGCAGTGCTAGTGTGTGCGAGGGATAAACCACTATCACTCACAAACAACTAGCGATAGCCTTAGAGGACAAAGCCTGTATGATATATAGAACTGTCCATTGTGTGTGAAACCATTTGAAACCACATTTCACCACTTTGTTGTTTACTAAACTGAATTTGTGTCTCTTCAGTGTCCCTTCCATCCCCAGGAAACCTCATGGAGGTGCAGCTGCCGATTGTGGGGAACAGACAGTGTAGCTGTAGCTACATAGCAGGCTTAATCACAAACAACAAGATGTGCACCGGGTTCACTACTGGAGGAAAGGACATCTGTCAGGTGATCATTTTTACGCCTATGTTTGTGTCCGATTTCACATTTTGCAAAGATTCCTTCTCTAAGATGTTTCTTTCCTTAAAGGGTGATTCTGGAGGTGCACTGGTGAGCAAGCAGGGCGGTCGGTGGATCCAGGGGGGAATCGTGAGTTTTACCAGTAGTAGAGGCTGTGCCCAGCCTAATCTCCCCTCAGGCTACACCCGAGTGTCCCAGTATCAGTCCTGGATCAACAGCCAGATCACCAGCAACCAGCCAGGCTACTACACCTACACGTCCACTGGGACTGACGGTGACCTCAGCGTCACCTGTACACCACCATGAAGCACACCCTAATGTAAGTGCCAGCCCTGTCCAGACTTTGATTTTAGCTCATTTCCTGGTATTCACATCTAGATGTGTTAAACATCTCAGGACAAACCACCCTTTGTTTGAACCCACCCATTTTTCAAGTGAGGAAAATTATGTTTGACTGAATGTTTCTTGTTGCCCAGGTGTTGCCTTTTAGGTTGATTGTCCAAACATTAAATAGCTCTGCAGGACTAGGCTAAGTTTTCATCCCTAGTTCAAACCTATAAAGACTGCATTTCCTGTTAAAGCAAGCCATTGTCAAGCTGAGAAAAGAAGGAAAATCGACCAGAGCCACAGGACAAACATTGGGCATAGCAAGCACAACAATTTGGAATGTCCTGAGAAAGAAAGAAACTACTGGTGTACTGAGCAACAGACGTCCAACAGGTCGGCCAAGGAAAACAACAGTAGTTGATGACAGAAATATGGTGAGAGCTGTGAAGAAAATCCCAAAACATCAGTAAGTGACATCACCAACGACCTCCACAGTGCAGGGTGAAGGTTTTACAATCCACTGTTGGAAGAAGACTCAAAGAGCAGAAATATAGAGGCCACACCACAAGATGCAAACCACTCATCAGCAGGAAGAATCGGAAGGCCAGATTGAAATTTAGTACAGAGATGAGCTGCAAAAGTTGTGGAACACAATCTTATGGACTGATGAGACCAAGATTAATCTCTAGCAAAGTGACGGAAAGGCCAAAGTGTGGAGAAAGAAAGGAACTGCTTATGATCCGAAGCTCATCTGTGAAGCGTGGTGGAGGTGATGTCATGGCTGCTTCTGGCTCATTAATATTTATTGATGATGTAACTGAATGAATTCAGAAGTGGACAGAAACATTTTGTCTGCCAGTTTACGGAGAAATGCATTGAAACTAATGGGGAGGAAGTTTTATCATGCAGCAGGACAATGAGCCAAAGCACACTGCCAACAAAACAAAGGACTTCATCAGGGGAAAAAAGGTTTTAGACTGGCCAAGTCAATCAGCTGACCTTAACCCAATAGAGCTGCATTTCACCTCCTTAAGAGGAGACTGAAGGGAGAAACACCCCGAAACAAACAAGAACTGAAAGAAGCTGCGGTAAAAGCCTGGAATAGCATCACAAATATCTCGCTCTCTGTGCCTTTTCTTTTTTCTCTTTACTCGTACTAATACATCACACACACACACCCACACACTCACACACACACACACATACACTTTACTTGCACCCACACATCTGAAACCCTCAGCCTTTAGTCCAACCTCCAGCTGTGCTTCATGCCAATTTGGTGACAACAGGTAGAGAGTATCCCCATTTTGGTTCATAACCCCTTTGGCTTAAGCTTTGTTGGTCTGCTCACCATTTCTCACACACAATTATTCACAATTGTTACAATTTCAATAACTTAATATCAATCGGTCCTCTTAGGAAGCATAAGCGGTTGTGAATCAATGTCACTTGTTTTAGTGCAAGTTAAAGTAAAAACAGGTGCAGAGGAGAGGCAACAGCCAGACAACCCTAAACGGATAAATGGTTTTGCAGGTGGAGGCCACTGACAGTAGCTCTCTCCTTATCCTTCCTGACTTACTGCTCTGTGTCCTTGTCACTACTGGTAGTATGAGGCGATACTTGCAGCCCGTTCAGCTCAATTGGCATTCGCTAGCGAACACTAGAATTCACAGGCCTGCCATTGGTTCCCTGTTCTCTTCACAGATGAGGGCAGGTTCACACTGAGCACATGTGACAGACATGAAAAGCGAGGCGGGTTGTCAGGTTAGCGATTGACATTAAATAATTAATTTGTCTTAACCTCAATATGATAAAACGTTGCTAAAATGGATGGATTTAGTCGGAGTACTGGCTATTTAATACTGACGGTATATTGATGTTGTTTTATGTGGTTCTGTTGCTCCAGGGGAGCAAGTGCTGTTTTTGTGCTGCATCTTAACAAATCATATGAGATCTTGATTGTAACGGCATACAGGTCACTTTACTTTGGTGTGTCTCTGCACCTCCTTGGTTCAAACATGGTTTAAATGGAGATAGAGAGAAAGAGAATGATGAAGAACAGAATCTGTGTATTATACTTTTTGTCAACTGAAGCAAACCATGTAACCTTCAGTGTCTGAGAACAGTGTTTTTACATCTCCCACAAGAGAGCTACAGCGCCGCATTGTATTGCACCAGTTTTTGACTGACTCCCGTGAGCTTTTCAGGACTCTGAGTTGCTGACTATTTTAGCAAAGATTGGAGAAGTGGTGAAGACAAGTTTTGGGTTTTCAACTAACCTAGACCTGAGCTTTTTTCTTAATCAACTCTTCTAAACTCTCACTACTGTTTCATTAGATCATTTTCCATTATTCAATAATTGCCTCATGGAACGACAGTGACTGCTGATCAGGAAAAGTTGCATAGTCTCGCTTTAAAATGAGCACATTTCAAGGCCTTTCTGGAAATATGCTTATTCACTTTACACACTCACAAGAGAGCTTGGTGAGAAGGCAAAATTGTATTTTGACCTTATAGCGCATTTGGAGAAACAAACAAAAAAAAGACAACACAACATTATTTTCCGTTTCACAGAAAGTTGGACTTGAACACATCTGTCCTGTTTGTTTGTTCAGGGTGATCTGGCGGTGAGCAGAGCGGCTCTTGGTTCCAGGCAGCAGTGTTGTTATTTGGAAACAACACCACCTTCCTGGCTCAGACACCAACACCACCAGCAACAACAGCAACAGCACTGCTGCCGGCAACATACCAACTACCAGCGGAGGCGCTCCTGCTCACTCATTCTTCTTCCATCTCCACATCTTCTCTGTGTGACAGAAGGTTTTTGAAGGATCCAGTTGTTACGCAAAGACAAGATGATAATTTGTCATTTACATAAAACTTCCCCTTCAAATAACTGAAAACAGGATGGTGTGTATTGATTACATTGCAGGTATATTAAACTCATGCTGTCATAGAATTTTCTGAAGTCATTAACAAATGGATTGAAAAACACTTAAAGGAACATATTTTAGAGGTCAGAGGATCACATGTCCATCATCTACCTATCTGAGCTAGTGTACCTTACTGTACAATCATATCTAAAGTGAACAAGCAGCTTTTGCTCTAAAAAATACTTAAACTGAACTTTACATTAATAATTTGGTTTGAAAGATAAATGTCAATTTTAAGTCTTGTCAAGTTTTGCCGTGGCAACAACTGTCCTGTAGATGTGAAAGTGCTGAACTATTAACCCCTTTGGAATTTTTTTTATCACAATAACCTGATTTTTAATTAAGGGAAATCCTTTCTGTTGGCTTTGAGCACATGTATGAACTCAACTCATGCAGTCTAATCTAAATGTCCTGCAGGAAATCCTCCTTCATGATGGTTATAATCTGTTTGTGTTGAAACTGTTTTAGAGACGTGCTGATTCAACTGTATGGTCATTCTGGAGGCTGAAGTTGTGTTTTGTAGCCACATGCATGTATCAAAATAAAAAAAATAAATACACTTTTTTTGCAACAGTTGCTGAAGTGAATATTTTCTAAAATAAAAATCTTGAATATTGTTCTTGTTCAAACAAAAGTCACTAACTACAACATCTTTAATCTGTTCAATCTGTAGCTACGAGTCTCAAATGCTGTGTTTTCACTCATATATGACTCACAAAGTTCTGCACACGCTCACTTTTACTCCGCCCCTCCAAAAAGGTCCAACTGCAGACGCTTAGACCTCATTTCTCCTCCTCAGACCGGTTTCCTCAGGCCCCTCAGACTTGTTGTATGTACAGAAATGCATTTGAATGGTGAGTAGTGCAGTAGTGCATGTTTTATTTATGGATGATGTGTGACCTCTAGTGGGTGTAAGACGTAACAAAGGAGGAAATCAACTGACATTTTGGTAACTGAAGCTTTTCCTGGTCATATTGATTTTTAGGGGGAGTATTAAACTTTTCTGTAGCTAAATGATTCGCAGTCTGTTGCTGAGAGAGGAAAGGGTTAAAGGTGTGTCACTCATCAATGATTGTGTTTTTACCAGTTTAGTAATAAATGTTAGGGATGATCTCAAATTTCAACCCATGTAATCACATGTCAAACTAGCATGGGGCATATCCAGAGGTGGAAAGAGTCCTAAAATATTGTACTTAAAGGGTCAGTGTGTAATATTTCTGAGGCTCTATTGACAGAAATGCAGTATAAGATCCATTACTATGTTTTCAGTGGTGTATAAAGAACTTACATAATGATCCATTATGTTTTTATTACCTTAGAATGAGACTCTGGCTGTGTCTAAAATCCCCACTCATTCACTACTCCCTACCCCCTCTGTAGGGAGTTGTATGTACAGCACTATATAGTGAGCTCACTCGCACTATTAAAACAACACTTTCGTACACTACCCGTACTCGTTATTTCTGTGCCGTTAATTGCGTCATTGCCATCTGACAATCAGTTTTTTCTATCAGCGCAATGCATGATGGTATATAGGGCTTGGTTAGTGACCATCGGTTGAACACTACTTTTCAAAATGCATTCTGGGATACATTGAGTGGACTATATAGGGTATAATATAATAATTCTCACTATACATTCGGATAGCTCTACAAAATGGCGAGCTCACTACATAGTGAGTAGTGGGTGATTTCTGACACAGCGATTTTTATCTACATAACCCCCTGCTATGGAGGTCACTGTATTTTGTTGTCATGTTTATACCGTAGCTGTCAACAAACAAACAGCGCTACAGAGTGCATTTTGTCATCACGGCGTTAGGAGAAGGACTAATAATAATAGTAATACAGTCTCTGAGTAGTCTTCTGGTTTATTAGAAGTAAGAAGAGAAGTGACATTTGGACAACTGAAGGAGCACACGTGTTATTTAGCACTAGAGCCGACAGCCAGACGGAGTCGGGACAGACAGCTCACGGCAGAAATCAAGGATTTTGTGGATTTTCCCAGATGGAATACTATAATGTTAATGTGGGACAGATGTTTTCAAAGCGGTGCTTAAGTTGTCTGTTTTCTGCTGGACAGGTAATTAACTTTGTTTGTCAGACTTTAGCGATAAAAAAGAAAACTGTTGTTTGACAGCTTTAGTTATTAGCTGGCCATAATCACAGAGAGCCCTGACATGTTTCCCCTGTCACTGGTGACATGAATGACCGAAACAGAAGATGTACGAGACTTGCGGTTGCCGAAGAGACGTTTGAAAGCGTTGTGGGGAAGCTACGATAGGGTAATCCGCTGTAGCACCCGGGCACGACGGACCCCCTTATAACCCTATGGAGAGGAAAAAGATCCGGAGTCAGGACAGAGAAAGGGGTGGGGGGAAGGGATGCAGGATAAGAGAGTGAAGGGGAGGAGTTAGGACGTGAGGGTATTCATGGAATGCTGGCGATGACGTGCTTGATGTGTGGTCCCGTTCCTGAAACTGCTAATTAGCACCACTTAATTTCATGGCGCCTACTTATTCTCCAGCCTGTGGTTTGGCTTTTCCGGTTACTTAGCGAGACAATCAGCTGATCAGTAACATTTGGCAATAAAACCATAACATTAGCTTAGAGCATGGAAGCATCAGCCAGTAAAACTTTTACTGACTGGTAGAAAAACATTTATTGTTAGTTGGATTGGTTTATTCTCCAGCGCTGTGCTTTGGCTTGTGATGTTATGTTAGTTAGATTATTTTCATGTAGTGACTCTCTCTTTCTCTCTCCCCAGCACTCTGTTTTTGGCTTTGTATCTTATGTTCGTGAGAATCAGTTGATCAATATTTGGCAATAAAACGGCAGCTTCCAGCATCTAAGCTCAGATCAGCCAGAATATGTAGTTGGATTGTAACTTCATGTAGTTCTTCTCCAGCCTCTGATGGCTTTGTTACCTGGACAGAAATGTGGTGTTACCTTCCTGAGACAAACAGCTGATGAATATTATTGGTAATGAAACAGTAAAGAGCAGGGAAGCTCAGATCAGCAGCTAAACTTCACATTTTACTGCCCTGGTAGAAAACATGCATTTCTTTTTACTGCTAATATATGACATATATGCCAGTAGGTGGCGCTATGACTATAACTGAATTTTGGCATGTAGATGTGTTTGGTACAGATGTGAGCATGTACACTTAAGTTGTAACAACATCCTGTTACGTGGCAAATAATTTAAATTCCACACCACGGACTGCCCCGGTCGACCAAAACTCATTTATTTCTCAATCATTTATGGGAAAAGACTGCACAGCTAAACTTTTTGGAAAGTCGCACGGACTAATTCTCTAGGATGACTTTGTTATAGTGCGGAGTGTGTAAATCGCCAAATATGACAATTAAATCCAAAATGGCTGACTTCTTGATGGTTTTTGACCCTCCTGGCGTGTGTTCAAAGTTTTGTAAGTTTTCAAGAACGTCAAGGCCGTCAGAAATGAAATGTATTTGCAGAACCATTTCTTCAGTTCAGTACAAAAAATATTCTGGTCTGCCAAATCCTGGTCTCCACCCTCTAACATGATCACATGACACGCTCTAAAGTCTGCTAAAAGCTGCAAAACTCTTCACTTTGGAAGGGCATAGCTCCTAAACTACATTTTTTTTTTTTAGCAAACATCAAATACAACTTTGAAAGATCAACATCTTTTTTGAAACCTGGAGTCTGTAGCTGCACATATGCCGGAGCATTTAGCTCTTAAAGTTGAGAAGGTTGGAAGAAAGTTCTCCCATTGAAACTCGTTCATTTTTTTCCCACATAAAAATATTAATATAAAATCAACCATTACAGATATCAGCAACAAAAGTAAGAGCATAAATCTCCTGAACAGGATGTACATTTTTAAGTTGGAACAAAGTTTCTAGGACAAACGGTGCAGGAGAAGATAGAGGCCGAAAAAGGGGTTATATATAATAATAAATAACTAGAAATTTTGTTGAAGCTGAAATGAACTTGCAAAAATCTGCGAGGAAAATGTAAAAGAGCTCAACTCAAATACGCTGAAAAGAAAAAAGAAAAAAGAAGCTGAAATGCACAAAAAAACTGCAAAACATTGTAGAAAATGCAAAAGAGCTAAATGCAAATGCTCAAAGAAGCTGAAATGCACAAACAATTGCTAAGCATCGCAGACTATGCAAAAGAGCTTAATTCAAATGCATGAAGAAGCTGAAATGCACAAAAAACCTACAAAAGATTGCAGAAATGCAGAAGAGATGAAATCAAATGCATAATGAAGTATTAAGAAGCTCAATGGCGTTGCAATTCACTGAATAAGAACTTGGAAGTTGAACAGAGCTAAAATGTTGAGTTGCTAAAATGATGAAAGTTGTTATACTGTCATAAATGGAAGTTGAAATGAGTCAGTCAAAAGAACAAAGATAGATAGGTAACCAAATAAACAGACAGGATAGATGTTGGTTCATAAAAAGACAGACAGATGTGAGATAAGGGACAGACAGACAGACTGAGAGATAGATAGAAATGAAGTTGAGGGGGAGACAGACAGACAGATAGAAATACAGAAAGTCAGACATTGACAGACAGATAGAAATACAGAGACAGACAGGCGGACAACTTGAGACAGAGTGACAGAACAATAGAGAGATATTTGTTAAGGGACAGACAGACAGACAATGTTAGAGAGACAGTGAGACAGAGAGACTTTTTAGACTTTTTAAAAACACTTTAATAAAAACATCACTGATCCACAGACATAAGAACATTCAATAAGTCAGAGAATCAAACTGTTGACATTTAGAGAAAAGAAAACACTTACACAAATAAAAACATCAAATTACCTGAAAACACAACTAAAACTGACTTCTTCATCCACCACAGAACAAATGACATCATCATAACACCACTGACGTACAAACACATCCAAGCTGTTCATTAGCTTATGGAATTTAAAGTCCACTAACACTCTGGCCTTAACCAGAGAGGTGAACACATGGACTATGTCTCCACACAGCTGTCCTTCTACCTGCTTCTTTCTACTCATTTATATGGACAGTTTGGCTTCTCCTACAATAAAATTTAACAGTTGCCACTTTGTTGCATTAGTCTTCCTGTAACCTGCTCCAAAAACAAAAGCAGTGTTAGACCACACTTTATTTAAAGAAGAAAATAAGCACGCCAACACATTAAACAGTTCCCCCAGTCTGCTGCACTCAAACAATGAACAACAGTTTCCAGCAGCCCACAGAAAGGACAGCCGTCAGAGACAGAGGGATTAATCACAGAGATAAAAGAGTTCATCGCAACAGCCCCATGTAATATTCTCCACTGTAAGTCACCTGTGCGCTTCTTTAAAGGAAGTTTGCAAAAGACTCTCCAGACCGGCTTCACAGCGTTACTAATCCCCAGTTTCTCCCTCCACACCGTGTCACTTCTACCATTTAACTTGTTTTTACACAACACCTTCACACAACACCTGTAAATCATTTTACCCGTCACCATGTGGAGATCTGGGTCTTTCTGATGCCTGACATCCAACAATAAACTAGAACAACAGTCAAGATTGGGTACCAGCCCCAACTCCGGAACAGGGT